AGGAGGTGCCAGCTGAAAGGATGATGTGGTTTTGAGGGCACCAACTGCACTGTTGTTACCAAACGTAGAATTTACCTGGAAATGATACCCAGCAAGGCTAAGAGGTGGAGAGAGCAAGCACTATTATTTGAACCTCCAGATCAAACCACACTTTCTTGCGCTTTCCAAATTCAAGCCAAAAATAATTTCCTTATTTTGCTTAAGCTAGTCTCATTTGGGTTTCTGTCACTTACCACTTAAACAGTACTAATGCAAAATTTTCAAACACTTTATTTCCTTGGACTTCTTAAATTGAGACTATTGGATGCAGTCTATTACCTGTGTAATCTATCACTTATATATTACAATCTATTAGCTTCAACTCTAAAATGCGAGTAATAATAAGTACTTGAGAACAAACTTTCTGAGGATTAAATGAGGTAAAGCACAAACACAGAAACACCAACCAGCAGGCCTGGCATTCAACAAATGTCACTTCTCTCCCCCTTTTCTCCATTACCGTTCACAATGTCAACCATTATTTGAGCACTTCACAGTTCTAAGTGTTTTTCACGTATTAACTCATTTAACATATGCAACCACCCTGAGGTAGGCACTTCATTAGCCCCACCTTGCTGTGTGAGGCGGGGGAGCGGTGCAGATAGGTTTTGTAACTTATCCAAGGAAACACACAGACACCGTGGGAGAGCTGGGATACAAACTGTCACATTATGCAATCAAGTCCTCTGTTTTCTGGTTTTCACTTTTTTTGCTGCGAGGCTGTTAACTCTCATCTCTCCTTATGTCACTGAACCTCTCTTCAGAAAATCTTTCCAAAATTTACCTTTTCTACTCTCCTGTGGATTAGGAAACAAGCTCATCAATCTTACTGCACAGTTAATGCTGAATAAAGTAAGAAAAGTCCGAAGTGCAGCCCTGAGAGGCACAATACATTTAGTACAGATGTTTTATGGTAGCAAATTTGGAGGTTTAGAAGCGTTTTTTGCTGGTATCTTGTGCAAAGGATAGTGTCAATTTATTATATATACAAACCTATGCTCTGTTTTTTCAATTATTCCCTAAAAGAAACCCATAATTACCTATGATAACAGCTGATGTTTACTGAGTGCTTATATAATGTACCAGGCCCCCTGCCAAACATTAACCTAAGAATTCCATTTCCTCCTCATAACCACCTTAAGAAGTATTACAAGAGAGCAGTACCAGCTGACGGACCCATGGACCCTCCGGGAGCAGGAGGGAGTGCGGGGATGGACCAAGAGCTCCCTGTGCTCTGCATCCGCTCTGTGAGCGCAGGCCAGCGTGTGTCTCACTCCTGGCACCTAACAGGGCACCCACGAAGCACTCAAATAGTTAATGAATACATGATCTTTACTAAAAGGAGAGCACTTTCAAAGGATATAAAAAGGGACTTCAACGTGAAAAGGGCATTCATTGTGTAGAAAGGAAAAAGCTTTAAAGGCAGATCCTTTCTTGACAATTTATGGTATCTTCTTTAATCCTAAAAATCCCATAGTGTCACTGTAATACAAATGTCCCTGCCCCTTTTCATCAGGCAGATCTGCATGCTCTACCCAACTAACACCCACCCAGGGGTAACAGAAGTTTAGTATGCCTGAATATGAGATGAAGAGGAGGATCAGAAAAACAAGTGAGTCAGCCATGAAATAAGTTTATTTTATGATTCAATTTCATCCTTCTTACCCCCACCTTTTTTATATTATAAGCAATATATGCCATTATGATGATAGCTATTAAGGGTGAAAGGATTAATTAAAACTCTAATTATCTGATAAGACTAGTATACTGTCTAACCTGATTTAGGGCAAATTCATCTACTTCAACTAAAAATACTGGACAGAAAAAAAAAGGCAAATAATGAAATAAAAATTAACCCTGCAGGTCCTGTTTTCACTATATATTTCCTAAGTGACCTAAGGTATCATTCAAACAAAGAGTCATAGTGTGTTTTTAATTTTTATTAGTAAGAGTTCTGAGGACAAATAACAAATTTAACTTGATATTTAGAAAAAAAATGATTCACTAAGGTTTGTTCATAAAGAAAAACCTGTTCTGTACATTTTAATCTCCAATTTTAATGCTTAACACCATAATGCTTCTAAGTCTATAACTTAATTTTAGGTTTAATTTTAATAATTCTGTCTTCTTGCCTCTGGTTAAAGAGACTAGAAAACATCAGGTAGAAAAAAAGCAAGGGACTAATTAAAATGACCTGAATATAAAACTTACTAGAAAGCTTTTTAAAAAACCTTTAAAACAAAACGACCTAAAAATTATAATACTTTTGGCATAAAAATTAGCAGCTATGAACAAAATTAACATTACATAATATTTTATCAAGAACTGCATTACAATAACATTGTAGTTTACATATATTAGAATGATTTGCAACATACTAAATGCTTATTGATATCAAACATAAAAATCTCTTTATTAAAAAAATTTTTTTAATATAGTTTAGCTCTTTTGGGAGATTCAGTTCCCAATAAATGACAAGAACACAATTTAGAAGATGATAGGTGGTACATCTTTTAATTACAGACCTAACCAGGTAAGTCTTATCAAATAGTTATGAAATTATATTCAATATTAAGCATTTATAAGAACTCAAGAGAGTAACTCTAGTCCCCTCATCAGTATCTATGCTTGGCATCAGAAATCATACTATGAGCAAATATGCAGTAAATTCTTGAAAAAAACAACTCATTTTAAAACAAGTCCCAATCTACATTTTTTTATTCTTCCTCTGACACACTATTTCCACCACTCTTCATTTTAACAGTGTTTTCTCCTTGGTTGGTGGTGTATTACAGCTTCTTCAAGACCAACCACACACAGCATTATCCAAGGTCATTAACTCCTTTGCAGCTGAAGTGAGCTACAAACAGCACAAGACCAATGCATTTCAACGGAAAACCATCCACTTTACTCAGCAAGGCAAAGCCCCATCTCCAAAACACTCTATCCAAGGTTGCTCTAAAATTAGTGACAAGTCCAATAGTATTACACTATTGTTGTCTCTTTGGTTTGACAGTAAGTTCAAACCTTAAAAGGATATATTAAAATTTCCAAGTTACATTACTCTGGAAACATAATTGAGTTGAAAATCTTTCTAAATTGGGATGAAATTTCTTCTATGCTGCGTATTTGGTATGAAATCTCACACCCAGTCACTGAGTTACAAAGAGTGTAGGAGAACAAGGAGAGGAATCACTGATTACACTGTACCCAAGCCTCTGGGAGCCAGGACAGGGGAACTGCCCAGGCAAACAGACAAACGTTTTCTGAATTCAACCTAATATGTTAGCACAGTTGTAGGTAAGTGATTTAATGAGACTTGTAAATAGGAAATGAGTAGCATTTAACTGTGGTTACTTCCAGAGGAATGGGAAATCTCAACATTGTCACTGCTTCCACTTAAGAGGAGCTCAGCCTTGCCATGTAAGAAAGGGGCCCCGCCCCTATCCACAGAGGACAGGGCTCCTAAGTAGCACCGGTTCTCCACCACCTGGGAGCCACATTTCCCAACACAGAGCCTCTCACTCTTACTCTCCATTCTACATTCAGCGGGAAGACTGTACTTAGCTCAGTGAGACTATGACCAAAAATAAATAAACTAATAAATAGAGATAAAAACTGGAAATGAATATGAACACTAATGGAGTAAAACTTCCCATACAGCTGATTTGAGAGCTAAAACCTATTTGTAAAGAAAAACTCAGAACCAAGTAAGGCACATCTCTATCTCTGGTTTCCTTCAAAAGAGCTGCCTTCATTCTTGGCAAACTAGCCATGTGGTGTGATATGATCCACTTCTTTTTATTTGCACTGTATTTATCTATTAAAAATCATTCCTTAATAAGGACTTTTTAATATTAAAAGGTCTAAATGTTTATAATCAATACCGTATTAAAATATTTTGATATTTACAATTGGAGAAAATGTGCAGTCAGTCATCTCAGGGCTACTTCTTCAACTTCATCTTCTACAGAATCAACGGCTTTTACTGCTGGCTTATTGTCTGCATGTTTTAATCGGTGCCTGTTTGGATTAAAACTTCTTCCTTCACTGAGGAAAAAGTCATCATCTTCATCACGTTCTCTAGCCCTGCTGCTTTTATCCCCAGGGAGAAAACTGAGAGGGTCAAACTCTCCTTTGCTGGCAGCCAGGGAATCTGGGTCACCGCTTTTAGAGGAAATGGTGCTGCTGCCACTGGCACCAAATAGTTGTTCCATCAGATTAGCTTTTTTCTCTTTTCTTGTAATTAAATCTACACTATCTTTACTAAGTTTATCTATATTGTTTCTTTGAAAATCCAAAAGGCCACTTTTTTGGCTAAATGGATTTGACTTCTCTGATGTTTTTGCAAATGAAGGTACATAGCTGCCAAACGTAAGCTCATCTGGAGAGGCTGGGCTTCTAGTATTTCCTGGACTCTGACCATCTCCTTTAGTTAAAAGACTGAAGTCTTGCAAATGATGCCCATTAAATAATCTCTCTGAGGATTCAGAGAACTTGTATGTTTTGGGGCTTCTCTTCAGGGAGTGCAGTTTTGACTCCGAATCAGGTAGCAACGGCAGAGGAGGACATTTTAGGTTCCGAGAATCTTGGAGTTCTCTATTGATTTCATTCAATTTGGCAAGTAGCATTTCTCTCTTCAGTCTTTCTTCTTCCTCTTCTTCTAATTTATCAGTATTTTGAATCTGGTACATTTCCATTTGGTATCTTCCAGTTTCCAATGCTGGCTTTTCTTCTCTCTCCAGCAAAGATTTCTTTTCTTTCTGCTTTTTAGCAAGTTCTTCTCTTTCCCACTCTGTATGAAATCAGATTTTAAAAATGGGATTTTACAGCAGTCAATATTTTTAAATAGGAAAACAACTCTCATCTTTTACAAAACAACAGTCTTTATCTAATTTGGGTATTATCAGTACATTGAGGATGGATATCATAAATTTCATCTCTATTCTGGGATTCCAAAAGAATATACTTAATGTGTATTGCATTCAAGATTCACATTTATAAAAAAAATTTTGTTCTTCAATTTAGCAGTGGGGAAGAAGGTTCTCTGCCTATGTTTTATAACCTAATATAGTGTCGTACACTGAATGGAGGGTGCTGGGATGGATGGAGCAAAGACTTTTATTTTAAACTTAGAAGTAAATTGAACCTCTGGATGTCACCCCAAGAAGGACACAACATCACTTATGTAGTATTCTAACAGAAGATGCATTAACCTGAATCTAATTAAGAGAAAACTTCAGATAAACCCCAAATGAGAACATTCTATTAAAAAAAAATGAGTCTGTATTCATCAAAAATGTTAATCTCACAAAATATTTTTAAAACGCGGAGAAGCTGTTCCAGATTAAAGGAGACTGAAGCCATATGAGAACTAAATGCAATTCATGATCATATCCTGGAGGGATATAAAGGACAATACTGTGTCAAATGACAAAACTGTAACATGAACGGCAGATTAATGTGTTGTATCAAAGTTAAATTCCTGAAATTGAAAACTGTACTGGAATGATATAAGAGAATGTCCTTATTTTGGAGAAATACATATGGAAGTATTTTAGAGTATGGGCATGAAGTATACAACTTACTCTTAAATGGTTCTTTGGTTATTGTCCCCACTTTGCTATAATTTTGAAATTATTTCCAAAATGAAAAAATAAAAAATATTAAAATATGTAAGAATACTACAATTGATAACTTTAGTAAATGGCACACGTTCTCACTAATGTCAGAAATCATTCCATGTAGACTCCAGGAAAAAAATCAGTCAAAAAGGACAAAGAGAGGTGACAGTCTTCTGTTACTTTATTTCTTTTCCTGGGACCTAGACAGAACTGACCGTAATACCTAATTTTCTGTTCTACAGTTTAACATGTGACAGCATCTTCCTTTGTGCATTAGCCAATAGTGATGTAAATATAGCTTCTATTTCAACTGTTATATTGTTTTAAATACACAGACACACAAACACACAAATACACATACACTAATTTAAGCAACAATTAGGTCATGATTTTATGTTCTACTAACGTTAAGGGGAAAAAAAGGATTTCTCTGTAAGCAGCTACCATATAACTAATAAAATACAGTCAAAGGACTAGAATCTGGGATCCTTCTCACCTATACCTTTAAGACATTTTATCCAGATGGAAATTTATTCCTGAACTTCATTTCCAGTATCTGAAACTATGTGAGTTGGTTCACTAAACTTCCACACTAATGGTTGAACATGTTAAAGATTTACTTTACACATTAAAACCAAGAAAAATTAAAGGAATATATTCAGGACCTCACAATTCACTGATTTTAAAGCTTGGGCTAGTCTACAGATTAGAGAGTCTCAAGATGAAGCCCATAAAGAGGGCTGTCGTTCAGTTATCTCTTCAACAAGCTTTAGTTAATACACAAATATTTTTCCCCCTTATCTGAATTCTGCTTCATCTGAATTTTCTGAAGTAACTTGTCCTTATTCCCCGACCCCAAAGAGCAACTGACTTACAGTCCTCATTATTTTTCTTCCCATAGTAACTTCACTCAAATGTTTGTGACTCCTGACAGACCATCCTCTACCACTGAATCAACCTTTTCTTGTTCTGTACAACCAAGTCACTGTCCAGCTGAAGGGATCAGAAGTTAACCCCTTCTTTCCCGAGGGTTGCTGACGCATCACTTGCTGAAACAAATTCTTTCTTACCATCGTCCAGCTTCTCAACCTCCTGTTTTACAACATGGAGTCTTTGATCTTTAACAAACTTTTCTTCTGTTTCCACAATTGAGTTTAGAATCCCTGCTTCTTCATGCTCATTTCTCTCTTGAGATTCCAGGTCCTATTACACATTTTTTAAAAAAATGCAAGTTCACATGTAGGAAAAGGGGAAAAAGCTATTTAAGTATCATAGATTTATCTCGCACTAAGCATGATACCAACTAAGTTAGAAATAAAAGCAAATTTCAATTAATAAAGCAGTAAGTCACAAGTTACCATCCTTTGAAAGATGCTTCAAAAGCACACAAAATTATTTCTTAGTTAAAATTTTTAAAAAGCATTTATAAGACATATCAGAACCAGTATAATGGAAGTAAAGCCAATACCTTACATAAAATTCTGAAGAGACAAGTTTCAGAAGTATCCTTGCTTTGTACATTTCACAACAAAATCTGATTAATTCAGTTAACCAGAAAAGGCTATTAACCAACTATGGAGGCCAAGTGCGATGGTACTGAGTTATGACACAGGCAGTGACAAGTGCATTGAATCTTTCAAGTTTATACTATGCCCAAAGCGTCCAATTAATAAATTTTATAATATTTAAGTCAAATAAAAATGTAAACTTAAAATTCCTTGTTTCTTATGGTCCCTTTCACATGAGTGTATGTGTAATTTTTCTTAATAAAAGTAAAATACCTATTATTAGTAGACTTGTATCGTAGAGAATTGTCCCCTACAACACATTTTCTCCTTCTTCCTTTTAGGTATAGAATCCCTTGAGTTTTAGCAGGGCATATGGCTGCTCAACTGGAGACTACATTTGCTAGCCTCCCTTGCAGCTAGACAGGACACAATAGTATGTGAGTGGAAGTGTGTATGCATAAACAAACTCAAAAGCTGCTTGCTTATAAAAGCAGCTTATAAAAACCAAAGCTGTTTTCCCTCCACTTCCTCATTCCGTCTCACAGGGGGTTGAGCCAATTCCAACCACATACTCTTTAAGAAGGAAGAGCAAGGAGAGAGCGTGACTATCATGGAACAAGGCTGTCTGCCTGGACTACCCACTGACCTTCAGTCTATTACAAGAAACAGAAACTTGAATCTTGCTTGAGCCCACTGTATTCTGGGTCTCTTTACAACAGCAACTTAGCTTCTACAGCTCCCATTTGCTGAGGCCCTTTAAAGTGGCAGGATCAGTCTTAAGAGCTTTACAAACTTCATGATTAGCTATAAGCAGAACCTAGAAGGGTAACCCACCCGTTTTATAGATTAGGAAATTGAGGCTCCAAGAAGTAAGACAACTAAGACGTTAGAACCAGAATTGAATTAAAAAGCAGTGCTAACTCCAAGGCTATACTCTTTTCACTCTATCAGGTTGCTGCCCCTTCTGTTGAATCTTATAAAGACCAAGGTTTTTTAATCCTTTTAAAGAATTACTTTGCTATTCCACACTTTACCCTTTTCAGAAACACAAATTAACATGATCTAGGCTCAATCATAGTGCAAATATAGCAAGAAACATACTTAGCAGATACAGCTAACTTGTCTGAATTGTAAAACAAAAACGAAATAAACAAATAAAAAACTAGGGTACACACAGGAACCAAATCAGTCCATCCTTTCTGTTTTATACCACAAGAAGAGACCTCAGGGTCACTGAAAAACTTACATGGCACACAAATATATCATATGAAATATATAGGATTCCTGATATATTGGTTTTCTTGGAGTTTAAACTGTAAATACTAAAGATAAAACCCTCTTAGAGAAAAGGATCTTCCAGTCCTTTTAAATGAAGGTCCAACACAGACCCCATGAATTACACTCTAATTTCAATAGTATAAAGTCAGATTCCATCGCAATTACTTTGCTCAGCATTCAGCTAACCTGTAAAATTCTCTTGTATAGGAGGACAAAAAAATTAAATGTAGTCAAATTTTAACAAATCATTTGAAAACTACTACAACATTAGTATTAAACACAAAAGCAAGGAGGAGTTTTAGAGACTATTTGGGTACACAAAAGGTAAGAAACTTAGAAAGTAAATTTTTCTTCTCTTCTACCTCCAACCCAGAAGGTACAATCAACCTTTCTGAAGCATCTGAAAGATGCAATGTGAACTGAGAGTCAATCCAAAGGAATTTAATAAAATGCACAGATGTTGTCTCTTTCTCTTTAAAAGGCTAGTTGCACATTTACACAGATGTAGCACTAGCTTCATTGATGCAATTTTAAAATGTTTGATATTGTGTTTTTAGGAATAACTTCAAACCTATAGTTTAGTACCTAATCATACTGCTAAACTCACCAAAGTAACACGTTCAGGTTCTTCCCATTTGTTTTCATAACACACAACTGTTTGTGATGTTATAGGAAATTCTTCCAGCTCGAAGTCTTCACTGGTTTGTACTCCTTTTGTACACTGGTCTATAAAATCACTCTGGCATGCAGCTATCATGAAAATTATAAAAGAATTTTTCTAATCATATGGAACAATGCTAAGACACATGTAATTCAACTGCTATACGTTCACCATCTAAATGAGATAATTCATGTTTTATTCAGCTCCATGACTAGTCACTATTACTATTTTTGTTTCTACGATTTATTGGCATTTATGTAATCTGAGGACAATACTGACAGGTAAATCCTATTAAGCTTTTACAAAGTTCATGTTTTTAACATTTTGTAATTCACTGAAGAGAGAAGGTATACTTTTGTTTAAAAAAAAGTAAAGATGTGCATAACAATACCAAAATGTTTATGAGTGAACTGAAATGACAGCTGGATGTGATTTAAAATATTCTAGAAAAAAATAGATGAAATAAAATTAGTAACATATATAACTGTTAAAGCTAGGTGATGCATAAATAAAGGTTCATCATGCTATAATCTCTAGTTTGGGGTATGCTTATATGTTCATAAAAGTTTAAAAACAATAACAAGAAAAATTTTTCAAAATTATGTAAAGCATAATTTTAATGACCTCAAGGGGAAAAAACTGAGAAAGCTGAAAGAATTTCTGAAAATTAACTATAAGGAAATCGAAATGTTTTTCAATGAAGTTCTTTCCCCTTTGCCTTCATCCTACTTCAGAATTAATTTATTTTATTAATAAGCAATAGCCTACAATATGTCTTTCACCAATAATATCTACTATACCATTTTTTCTTGATGTAATTTCTTTTTCTTTCTTTGGAGAAGACTTTGGCAGACGATTAGAATATATGTTTTTTATATCCAGTTCTCTCTCCTTTTCCTGAAAACAAACCCAACACAATTAAGGTTGTAGAGTCTCAGTTTAAAACAAAACAAAAATCCTCACCTTGTCAGCTGGTACTTTCCTTACCAAATGGAATACAGCTAGTTCAGCTTCCCTCTGTAACTTCCAAACTACAGAAACGAACGTCTCTAGGACATTTAGGTTAGGGTAGAGCAATGATTCTCCCTAGAAGTCAAGAAAGACTTGCACTGGCAGTCAAGAAAATGAGAGCAAATACGGCAAAATTCATTTTCTACCCATCCTACCTGATAGAGCTAGTACTGTCCTAAACTGTCTTCCAGGCTTAGCCAAAGAGACAAAGAATTTAGTTAGCATCTCTCAAATGTGGGTTCTGAATTATTGATGAATTAAAAATCAGGCCATTTTTTTAAACACAAGTGTTCTCGACCATTTGGGGACTATGGCTTTCTCTAAGAATTTGATTAACAAAATGAAAATTCTATGCAAGATAATGCATAAAAACTCAGTTTTGCTCAAAATTTCAACCATCAATGACCTCTAGGTAGAATTAACACCTGCTTTAACAAAATTAAATAATTTGAATGTTTCCTCTAAACACTATAAAAATGAAGGACATTACTTGAAACAATTTCAAAAATAATCAATCATGGGGTTACCCGAGGAAGAAGACTGAATTATTCAACCATGAAACACAGAAAAACTCTAGTTCCCGTAATTTTCTTCCAGGACTTTATAACTTATTTCAGTTATATCACTCCTATTAGTGCAGTAAATGTTTCATTTTTAGCATGTATTATTATAGTGATTATATTAACGACAGTTTTCTAAGTGCCAAAGATAATATTAGAATTTTGTGGGGCCGGCCCCGTGGCTTAGCGGTTGGGTGCTTGCGCTCCGCTACTGGCGGCCCGGGTTCGGATCCCGGGCGCACACCGACGCACCGCTTCTCCGGCCATGCTGAGGCCGCATCCCACATACAGCAACTAGAAGGATGGTCAACTAGGACATACAACTATCTACTGGGGCTTCGGGGGAGAAAAAAGGAGGAGGATTGGCAATAGATGTTAGCTCAGAGCCAGCCTTCCTCAGCAAAAAGAGGAGGATTAGCATGGATGTTAGCTCAGGGCTGATCTTCCTCACAAAAAAAAATAAATAAATAGAATTTTGTAAATTATATTGTACCAACTGACAAATATGAATGGTAACAATGTTTTAAAATACTGAGTTTTCATCTAGTTATAGTGAGAAATAATGCAATTTTTTAATTAATTAATTTTTTTGTGTGCATGAGGAAGATTAGCCCTGAGCTGACATCTGTCGCCAATCCTCCTCTTTTTGCTGAGGAAGACTGGCCCTGGGCTAACATCTGTGCCCATCTTCCTCTACTTTATATGGGATACTGCCACAGCACAGCTTGACAAGCAGTGCATCGGTCTGCACCCGGGATCAGAACCTATGAACCCCAGGCTGCCAAAGTGGAGCGCATGAACTTAACCGCTACGCCACCGGGCCGGCCCCTAATTAATTTATTTTAAAAGTGCTTACCTTTAATTTGTGATATAGCCTTTGTAGCTCCTTTTGAAGAACTTTATTTTCATCATGAGCCTCATATGCCCTTTTCCTTTCAGCAAGCAACTGTCGTTGGAAACTGTTAGTACTCAGCTCAAGGTTTTTTGACAGTTCCTATGATGTGTATAAACACATAAAAAACGGTACGTGAAAAAAAATTCAACAGTAAAACATTGCATTTAGCATCAAAACGACGTTTTTAGTGGTACTGTACAAGACACATAAATCAGGGTGGGCTTAGTGTTCATGAACATAAAATAAACCGGGAAATAGATTTACAAACAATTTAGTAAGGTACTAAGCCTATTATTCCTTTCTTTGTTTTTCACAATGATTTGTAAATGAATTCTTAAGCATTTGCCTGAAATAAATATGGACAGTCATTTAAGTTGAGAGCAAAAGACAACCAAAGGATGTTATGAGAAACAACGGCTTTTGGGAATCGTTGGGCAAATAGATACCAATACAGCTGTGTAAAATTAAACAGCACTACTCAAGGTGCAGAGGTTACCTTGTAAAACATTTCTAGATAAAAACAATAGCTATTTTCATGGTCTTCAAACATGTTTCATGAAGTTTATGAAACAATTTAGGTTAAAATATTTTCTTTTAGGTGACATCAGCATCACGGCAGTGTTAAGTCATTACTTTTTTCTCTTCCCTTTGATTTACAACTAATCAGACATCTATAACCAAACAAAACCACCTCTGCACAGCACACTAGGACATCTGAGAGACCCATCCATCGGTGCACCCAAAAGCAGGTGGACTGGACCTCAGAGGAGGCTGCAAAGCCAGGGGAGTGGTGGTGACAGAGGCAGTGGCCATGGGCCAACATGACCTTTCTGGCAGAGGAGGTGGAGGGGGAAGGTAGTGAGTGGGGGGGTCTGTGTGGCATGCATGCTGCAGCTGGAAAAACCCATTGCTCTAAGGAGAGACCACAGTGACTAAGAGGAGGGAAAGGAAAGGGAAGACCGACAAAGAGAAGTGAAGGAATGTGTTTCCTGCTGTCTGCCCCCAGGGATTCTGGCAAGAGATCCACCCACAGACCTCTGGGACTCCCCAACTCAAGGATTCCCTACCAGGCCAAGGGCACATCCAAAGCCCCAAGTGCTAAGCACACACCTCCCCGAATTCTGCTGCCACCTCTTTTTTTTTCTCCACCAGCTTTTTTTTTATGTACGCACTCCTAACTTTAGCGTCAAGTCAGCTCTCATGAGAGAAACCAGAAACTTGGGGTATAGCGTCACCTTCTGGAAAACAAAAGGAAGGCTCCTTATTACCAATCTATTGAACTGTTAGAATCAAAGTAAACAAAGCCTTATCTAAATAAGGAAGGTGTTCACTACTTAAAATACAGCAGCAGAGACACTTTTCATCAAACACTATAAAAAATTATAGTAATACCGTATCACAAAAATAAAATGACAATTTTCCAGCAACCAAACCGAAAGACGTGGAATATTGCAATGTAACTGATAAAGAACTCAAAATAGCTGTTATGAAGAAATTCAATGAGCTACAAGAAAACTCAGAAAGGCAATACAATGATCTCAAAAATAAAAGTAATGAACAGAAGAACTTTACCAGAGATTGAAATTCTAAAAAAGAACCAAACAAAAATTCTAGAGCTAAAGAACTCAACAAATGAGATGAAAAATGCATTAGAAAGCAATGGAAATAGAGCAGATGAGATGGAAGAGAGAATAAGCAAGCTTGAGAATAGGAATTTAGAAATGATTCAGGCAGAAAAGGAGAGAGAACTAAAATTTTTAAAAAGTAAGGAAACTCTACAAGAACTATATGATTCCATCAGAAGAGCCAATATAAAATGGGTATACCATAAGGAGAAGCAAGGCAGAAGACAGCAGAGAACTTATTTAGAGAAATAATAGCTGAGAATTGCCCAAACCTGGAGAAGGAACTGGATATACAAGTCCATAAAGCTAATAGAACACCTTACTATCTCAAGCAAAAAGATATTCTTAAAGACACATTATATTAAAACTATCAAAAGTCAATGATAAAAAATTTTACAAAAGCAACTGTAACATACAAAGGAACCCCCATTAGGTTATCAGCAGATTTCTCAGCAGAAACTCTATAGGCCAGGAGAGAGTGGAACAACATATTCAAAGTATTGAAAGATAAAAATTGCCAGTCAAGAAAGTTATCCTACAGATATGAAGGAAAAATAAAGGCTTTCCCAGAAAAAGAAAAGCTACGGGGGTTCACCACCACTAGATGTGCCTTACAAGAAATGTTGAAAGGAGCTCTTCAAGCTGAAACAACAAGACAAAAGGACACAAAACTCTAATAAGGTAACAGACAGAACTAGAAATCTGTAACTCTTTTGTAGAATAATATATTAAATAGTTATAGCATAAACGTTAAAGGAAAAGAGCATTAAAAATAACAATAAAGAGCAATAAAAATAAAAATAAGTAGTATAGTTACTACAACTTGGTAACAAAAATCACAGCATAAAAAGAGATAATTTGTGACATCAAAAAATATAAATGAGGATAGAGTAAAAGGATGGCACTTTTATACGTGGATGAAGATAAACTGCTATCAGCAGAAAAAGGACTACTTTATCTATGAGATGCTTTATGTAAACATCATGGTAACCACAAAGCAAAAATCTACAGCAGAGACATACAACACAAAAAAAAGGTGGAGACTGAGCCAATCACCATGGAAAACCACCAACTGACAAAGGCAGACAGAAACAGAAGGGAAAAGAAACAATGGAGAGACAAAATAACCAGAAGGCAAAAGATAAAATGGCAGTAGTAAATCCTTACATATCAATAATCACCCTAAATCTAAATGAATTGAACTCACCAATCAAAAGGCACAGAGTAGTTGGACAGATTAAAAAAAAAAACAAGACCCAACTATATGCTCCCTACAGGAAATTCATCTCAGCTCTAAAGACACACATAGGCTCAAAGTAAAAGGATGGAAGATGATATTCCAAGCAAATGGAAACCAAAAGAAGGCAGGAGTAGCTATTCTTATATCAGACAAAACAGACTTCAAGCAAAAAGGGTAATGAGACAAAGAAGGTCATAATATAATGATAAAGAGGTCAATACATCAAAAAGACATAACAATCGTAAATATATACACTCCCAACACCCAAACACCAAAGAATACTAAGTAAATACTGACAGATCTTAAGGGAAAAATAGATAATACAATAATAATAGGGGACTTGAATACCCCACTATCAGCAATGGATAGACTGTCTAGATAGAAAATCAACAAGGAAACATTGGAATTGAACCACACTTTAAAACAAATGGACTTAAAAGACATATAAACAACATTCCATCCAACAGCATCAGAATACATATTCTTCTCAAGTACACATGGAACACTCTTTAGGATAGATCATATGATTGACCACAAAACAAATCTTAGCAAATTTAAGAAGAATGAAATCATGCCAACTATCTTTTCTGACTACAATGGTATGAAACTAGAAAACAACAACAAGAGGAAAGTGAAAAGATCTACAAATAAGTGGAAACTAAACAACACACTTCTAAACAACCATTGGGTCAAAGAAGAAATCAAAAGGGAAATAATAAATTATCTCAAAACAAATGAAAATGGAAATACAACATATCAAATCTTGTAGGATACAGCAAAAGTAGTTCTGATAGGAAAGTTTACAGCAATAAACACATATATTAAAACATTAGAGGGGCTGGCCCCATGGCATAGCTGTCGAGTGTGCGTACTCCGCTGCTGGCTGCTCAGGTTCGGATCCCGAGTGGGCACCAACACACCACTTGTCAGGCCATGCTGTGGCAGCGTCCCACATAAAGTGGAAGAAGACGGGCATGGATGTTAGCTCAGGACCAGTATTCCTCAGCAAAAAAAGAGGCGGATTGGCATGGATGTTAGCTAGGGCTGATCTTCCTCACACACACACACACACACACACACTAAATAAATAAATAATTATTAAAAAAAAATTAGAAAGATCTCAAACGATCTAACTTTATATCTCAAGGATAAAGAACAAGAAGAACAAGAAAGAAAGAACTAGGAAAAGAAGAACAAATTAAGCACAAAGTTAGCAGAAGGAAGGAAATAATAAAGATCCGAGTGGAAATAAATGAAATAAAGACCAGAAAAACAACAGAAAGAATCAATGAAACTAAGAGCTGGCTCTTCGAAAAGATAAACAAAACTGACAAACCTTAATCTAGACTAAGAAAAAAGGAGAGAAGACTCAAATAAATAAACTTAGGAATGAAAGAGGAGACACTACAACTGATATTACAGAAATACATAGAATCACAGGACACTACTATGAAAAATTATCTGCCGACAAATTACATAACCTAGAAGAAATGGATACATTTCTAGAAACACACAACCTACCAAGACTGAATCAGAAAGAAACAGAAAATCTGAACAGACCAATAACAAGTAAAGAGATTGAATCAGTAATCAAAAAACTCCCAACACAGAAAACTCCAGGACCAGATGGCTTTACTGGAGAAGAATTAATACCAATCCTCCTCAAACTCTTCCAAAATATCAAGGAGGAGGGAATACTTCCAAACTCATTCTACAAAGCCAGCATTACCTTGAGACCAAAACCAGATAAGGATACCACAAGAAAAGAAAACTCTAAACCAATATGTCTGATGAATATAGATGCAAAAATTCTCAACAAAATATTAGCAAACGGAATTCAAGAACACATTAAAAAGGAGTATACACCATGACCAAGTGGGATTTATCCCTGGGATGCAAGGATAGTTCAACACGTGCAAATCAATAAAATGAAAGATAAAAATCACATGATCATCTCAACAGATACAGAAAAGCATTTGACAAAACACATCATCCTTTTATGATAAAAAGCCTTAACAGATTGGGTATAGAAGGAACATATCTCAACATAATAAAGGCCATACATAACAAACCCACAGCTAACATTATAGTCAATGGAGAAAAAATGAAAGCGTTTCCTCTAAGATCAGAACAAGGCAAGGATGCCCACTCTCACCATTCCTATTCAATATAATACTGGAGATCCTAGCTAGAGCAATTAGGCAAGACAAAGAAATGAAAGGCATCCAAAATGGAAAGGAAGAAGTAAAATTGTTGCTACTTGTTGATGACATGATCTTATATATAGAAAATCCCAAACAGTCAATCAAAAAACTGAAAGAATTAATAAATGATTTCAGTAAAGTGGCATGATACAAAATCAACATATAGAAATCAGTTGCATTCTTTTACAGTAATGATGAAGCATCTGAAAAAGAAAGAGAGAAAACTATCTCATTCATAATAGCATCAAAAACAATAAAATACTTAGGAATAAATTTAACCAAGGAAGTGAAAGATCTATACAAACTACACAAATTTGCTGAAAGAAATCAAAGAAGACACAAACAAATAGGAAGGCATCCTGTATTCAGGAATTGGAAGAATTAATACTGTTAAAATGGCCATACTACACAAAGCCATCTACAGAGTTAACATAATCCCCATTAAAATACCAAAGGCATTCTTCACAGAAGTAGAAGAAACAATCCTAAAATGTGTGTAGAACCACAAAACACCCGGGATAGCCAAAGCAATCCTGAGGAAAAAGAACAAAGCTGGAGGTATCGCACTTCCTGATTTCACACTATACTACAAAGCCATAGTAATAAAAACAGTATGGTACTGGCACAAAAATACACAGAACACATGTTCTGTTCCAAACCAATGGAACAGAATAGAGAGCCCAGAATTAAACCCTGGCATATACAGTCAACTAATATTTAATAAAAGAGCCAAGAACACCCATGGGGAAAGAAGAGTCTCTTCAACAAATGGTGCTGGGAAAACTAAGAAACACATGCAGAACAATGAAATTGGACCCCTATCTCAAACCACTCACAAAATTAACTTGAAATGGATCAAAAACTTAAATATTTAAGAACTAATACCATAAAACTCCTAGAAGAAAATGTAGGGAAGAAGCTCATCAAATATTGGTCTTGGCAATGACTTTTTGGACATGATGCCAAAAGCACAAACAACAGAAGTAAAAAAAAAAATCAACAAACAGGACTCAAAAGCTTCTGCACAGCAAAAGAAACAATTAATAAATGAAGACAACCTACAGAATGGGAGAATTTTTACAAACCATATATTGGATAAGGGGTTAATCTCCAAACTACGTAAAAAACTCATACAACTTAATAAAAAACCATCCGATTAAAAAATGGGCAGAAGAACTAAATAGATATTTTTCCAAAGAGGACATCAAAATGGCCAACAGGCACATGAAAAGAACACCACTAATCATCAGGGAACCGTAAATCAAAACCACAATGAGATTATCACCTCACATCTGTTAGAATGGCTATCATCAAGAAGACAAAAGACAACAGGTGCTGGTGAGGATGTGGTGAAAAGGAAACCCTTATACACTGTTGATGGGAATGTAAATTCATCCAACTACTATGGAAAACAATATGGAGGTTCCTCAAAAAATTAAAAATAGATCTACCATATGATACAGCAATTCCCCTTCTGGGTATATACTCAAAGGAAATGAAAACAGGATTGACGAGATATTTGCACTCCCATGTTATTGCAGCATTATTCACAATAGCCAAGATATGGAAACAACCCAAATGCCCATCAATAGATGAATGGATAAAAAAGATGTGGTACACATACACAATGGAATATTATTCAGCCATGAGAAAGGAGGACATCTGCCATTTGTGACAGCATGGATGGACCTTGAGCACATTATGCTAAGTAAGATAAGTCAGACAAAGAAAAACAAATACAGTAGTTCCCCTCCTACCAGCAGCGGCTATGTTCCAAGACCCTCAGTGGATGCCTGAAACCACAGATAGTACCAAACTCTGTATGTCTTATGTCTTTTCCTACACATACATACTTATGACAAAGTTTAATTTATAAATTAGGCACAATAAGAGATTAACAACAATAACTAATAATAACTTCAGAATACGACTTTTTTTCTTTCCTTAGTAAGTTGAGAACTTTTACCTTTTCACTTAAAGAAAGCATTTTATGGCTTCTCTTTGGCATATCCAAATTGACAACATCACTACTCTTGTACTTTGGGGCTATTATTAAGTAAAATAAGGATTACTTGAACACAAGCCCTGTGATACTGCGACTGTCGATCTGATAACTGAGATGGCTACTAAGTGAATAAAGGGCAAGTAGCATATATAGTGTTGACATGCTGGACAAAGGGATGATTCATGTCCTGGGTGGGAGGGAGTGGGACTATGTGAGATTTCATCATGCTACTCAGAAGGGCATGCAATTTAAAACTTATGAATTGTTTATTTCTGGAATTTTCCATTTAATATTTTAGACACAACTGACCACTGGTAACTGAAACCACAGAAAGCAAAAGCACAGATAAGGGTTTGATACTGTACTGTATGATATCACTTATGTGGAATCTAAAAAAGTGAAACCTGTAAAAAGCAGAAAGTAAAATGGTGGTTACCAGGGAATGGAGGATAGGGGAATAAGACTGATGGTATTTAAAAGTACAAACTTGTAATGAGTAGTAAATAAGCCATAGAGATCTAATGCACAATATAATGAATATAGACAACAATATTGTACTGTAATTGTGTAATGTGATCAACATCTCTACGATGGCAATCATATCACAATATTTGGATGTATCAAAGAAACATGCTGTATACCTTAAATTTATACAAAGTTGCATATCAAATTTATTCAATAAAAAATATATTTTAAAATAACTTGTCAAGATACCATTTCTAACTTCTGGATAAAAAAATGCCTTTTATATATAAAAAAATTTTAATATAAATGGAATAAGTGTGTATTTTAAAGTATTATAAAATCACAAAGAATAGAAAATAAAAAACTGTTACAATCCCATCACCCTGTGATAATCACCGTCAAATTCTGATGTACATAATTTGAGAGTTTTATATAATTTCTCACTAAATAATATCATAAATGCCCCTTTATGTCAATATATACGCTAAACCACAAATTTTTTTAATATAATAGTATTCTATTTTATAGATTATCATAATTCACTTAACCATATTCTGCTGTTCAACATTAGGATCCTTCCAATTTTTCCTATGGTGAACACCCCAGTATATATAACTTTAAGCATATCTTTTATTATTTCCTCAGGGTAAATGTTAAGAAATGAAGTTTCTGGGTTAACAGACATTTGTACAATTTTAAGGCTTTTGAGAAACATTACCAAAATGTCCTCTAGAAAGATTGTAACAATTTACATTCTCTTCAAAAGTCTAGTAGTCTTTCTTTTACTACAGTCTTGCAATAACTGGATATTGTAATTTTTTAATCCATTGGATTGGCAAAAAAAAAGATATTATTTTAATTTGTAATTCTTTGATTACTACTGAAGTTAATTTTCGTGTTTATTGGCCATCCATATTCTTTATGAATGGCTTTTATATAGTGCAATAGGAATTTAAAAGACAATGACAAAATGGGGGAAAAGCAACATTGAAAAACAAGAATTTTCCAGAACTGAAGATAGGAAAAAAGAGATAGAGTTGGAGAAACCATCAAGACAAAGACTGCATCAGGAAAGAATCATCAATAGATGTTACTTTTAATGAGGAATAAGATATTTATATATTCTTAAAGTGGCTCTCCACACACTGCTTATCAGTTTCACTGGAAGGGGAAAAACAGTAACTGTACATATGGTGAACAAATTGAGCAACATTTTGGCCAGGTGACCAAAATTAACATCACCAGTGAAGAACAGGTGAACATCATGTGCCTCCAGATGTGATATCTTAAGAAGGAATAACATCACCTATTCAGTATTCTGGCCTAGCATGCAAAAAATTCAGTCTAATAACAATGAAACAGAGAAATGCAAATTAAGAATACTCTATTACATAAAAAGGGATGGGGTACCATATTCTTCAAAAATGTGAATGTCATAAAAAGACAACAAAATTATAGAGGAAGTTTCCAGATTAACGAAGGCTAAAGACACCTGGACAGCACAACACTTGACTCTAGATAAGATCTTGTACTAGAGGGGGGAACATGCTATAAAAGATATTATTAAGTCAAATGAAAAAATTGTATTGTGGACAGTGGATTAGAGAAAATTACTTGTATACATGTCAATTTATACCATAATTGTACTATGGTTATTCAAGGGTATATCCCTATTCTTAGGAAATAAAACCAATGTATTTAGGGATAAAGGGCATGATGTATGAAACTTACCCTCAAATAGTTAAAAAAAAAATTATGTGTGTGCATCTGTGCACACATACATGTATGTGCATATGACAGAGAGAGAGCGCGTGTGCATAAGACGAATGAAGTAAAATGTTAACAAAAGGTGAACCTGTGTAAAGAGTATGGGGGTGTTGTTAGTATTACAACTTACAATTCTCTGTAACCTTAACATTATTCCCATATACAAAGTTAATTAATTAGGGGCTGCCCAGTGGCGCAAGCCGTTAAGTGCGCGTGCTCCGCTCCAGCGGCCAAGGGTTCACTGGTTCGGATCCCGGACGCGCACCGACACACCGCTTGGCAAGCCATGCTGTGGTGGCATCCCATATAAAGTGGAGGAAAATGGGCACAGATGTTAGCCCAGGGCCAGTCTTCCTCAGCAAAAAAAAAAAGAGGAGGAGGATTGGCAGATGTTAGCACAGGGCTGATCTTCCTCACAAAAAAAAAAAAAGTTAATTAAAAAATTGTACCTTTAGATATTTTGGGGCAAAACAGGAAACCATTAAACTCAAAGAGAAAATGTTAAAAGCCACCAGAGATTAAAAGAAAAATACTTTCAAGTTCTAAAAGATAATAACTGTCAACCTAGAATCCAAGACCCAGTAAAATTATCATTCAAGAGTGAAGATAAATTATTTTCAGACAAAGACTAGAAAATTTTACCACTCAGAAGCCCTCACTGAAAGAATGACCAAAGGATATATTTCAGAAAGAAAGAAAATGAACCCTGAAGGAAAGAAGCAATAATGAGCAATGGTGACATGCAAGAAACAATGAACAAAAAACTTGGTAAACCTCATAAGCACTGTTAAAAAATCCATAGGTTTCAAAATAAGGTAACTTAAAACAGATAATATGAAAGATGACATGAGAAGAGATGGAAGAAAGTGTTCTACTGTCCTGACAGATTTTGAAAAACCAGCGATATTAATTGCTTCAGACTTCCTTAATTCAAGTACATACATCTTAAAAATTTAAGGATAAACTCTAAAAGAATAGAAATAGAATGTGTCACTTTGAAATCAGTAGATATGCAGGGTAAGGGGTAAAAGGCAGGAAGGAGAAAAAAGAAGCAGAGAGAAAAGACGATAATTTTGTTTTTATAGACAACCAACGTAGACCCAAATATCTCAATAATCACAACAAATGTAAATAAATAACTTTCACTGTTGAAAGAGATATTCTTATGTTGGATTCTTTTTTAAAAAATTTAGTCAAATATTGTACAAGCACAGAGATAAAACATGAAAACAAGAAAGATAAAAATTAAAATATATGAGGCAAAAATATTAACCAGAAGAAAACTAGTGCAGACCAAACAGGCTTTAAGACATAAAGCATTATTAGGGCGAGATAAGGAGTTATTATTTAATGATAAAAAAAAAAATTTCACCAGAAAGGTAAAACAACTCTGAACATGTTCTAAGTTCAATTCTGAAACTAAAAATAACACAGCTTCTAAACATGCTAAATTTTTTGGCAAGCTTTATCAAGAAGAAGAAGAGGTACATATTAGCATATTAGGAATAAAAGTGGAGCATAAAACTACAGAAATGACAAATATTTTAAAAATCATAAATACTACGAAAAAACCTAATGCCAACAAATACAAAATCTGAGATAAAATGAACAATTTTCCAGAAAAATATAAATTACTAAAAGTAACTGAAAAAAAATATAAGATTTGAATCAATCTATAACTATTAAATGAGCAGTAGGAAAAAATAAAGACAAAAACAAACTCACAAATAAGCACTAGATCCAGAAGGTTTCAGAAGTGATATCCACCAAATTTTAAGAAACAGATATTTCCTATCTTTTACAATCTGTAAACGGGAAAAAGGAAAAACTCTCCAAATGATTCTTTATAAGAATTTTTATAATCTTGATGCCAAAACTGGATAAGGACAGCTTGAAAAAATAAATCATAGGCCATTCTTATATATGAATATTGTTGCAAAAATCCCAAATATTAGCAAAAGGAATTCAGCAATGTACAAAAATTACATCACAACTAAGTAGCATTTATCCTAAGAGAGCAAAGAATAAGAGTAATTTAACAATAAAAATATACAAATGTAACTTTCCATGTTAATTCAATGAGGAAAAAAATACCTGACCATTTCAATAGAACCAAAAAAAAAAAAAGGGCATCTGAACATTTGATAAAATTCAACACTATCCATGATTTAAAACAAAAATCCTAGTAAGTTAGTAATAGAAGGAAATTTCTTCACATGTAATATATATAATATACACACACACAGAAAAGATCCAGAAGGATGTACACTAAGATGCTAAAACTGGTTAACATCTGGGAGTAAGAATGTTAAGTTTTTATTTTAGTTTTTAGTTTTCTCAAGGTTTTTTACAATGTACCTGTGCTGATTATATAAAAATAAAAATGCAATTTATAAAAATATGTTTAAATGAAAAAAATAAAATAGGAAGGAGATATATCTATCAACTTCAGAAAAGTAGTTACTTCTGAGGAGGGAGAGTAGAAGAGGGACGTCTGGAGAAAGTGCACAAGGGAACTTAAAGTAATATCTTATTTTTAAAAATACGATCTAAAGCAAAAGTAGCAAAATGTCAAGTAGGTACATGAATGTTTTAAATATTATTCTCTTTTCTGTATGTTCAAAATATTTCACAAGAAAAAAATTAAAGTGCTTTAAGAAATTAAAGATAGTGAATGGAAAAAGAAAATGTAAATAGCGGTTATCTTTGGCTGGAAGGACTATGGGTATTTTTTCCCCATACTTGACTGTAAATTTCAAAATGTCTTTAAACAAACATTTTAATAAGACAAAAAAATATTTAAAACAACTTTCATTGATTTTTTCTAAAAGGAAATATTACAGAATTCTAACTCTAACAAATTTTTAAAAAGCAAATCCAAAGGACAACTAATCTTACCTTCATTTTTTATTACTGAATAAAGAAATATATCCTTTTGTGCGTGTGTGTGTGTGTGTGTGAGGAAGATCAGCCCTGAGCTAACATCCATGCTAATTCTCCCCCCCCCTTTTTTTTTTTTTTGCTGAGGAAGACCAGCTCTGAGCTAACATCTATTGCCAATCCTCCTCCTTTGTTTCCCCAAAGCCCCAGTAGAATAGTTGTGTGTCATAGTTGCACATCCTTCTAGTTGCTGTATGTGGGACACGGCCTCAGCATGGCTGGAGAAGCACTGCGTCGGTGCGCGCCCGGGATCCGAACCCTGGCCACCAGTAGCGGAGCGCACGCACCTAACCACTAAGCCATGGGGCCGGCCCAAGAAATATATCCTTAAATAACAACATTGCATTTGTTAAAACAGGTCTATAAATGTCAATTGTTTTAATCTCTTCTCAGTGTTATTATAACTCAATTCTGAGGACTTATGCCCTTATGTAAGCAAGGATCCTAGCCCACCTTATAGGAATAGTTTTT